CAAAAAAGGCGGGAGTCGGGCCTACCGGGGCGGGGGGCTGCGGTGAGGGAGAGGGCAGTCGGGAAAAGGCGACCTCAGTGCGGGCGGCTGGCCGCGGGTTTGAGACCCGAGTTGCTGTTAAGACGTGTGGTGTTTTCTGTGGTTTTCTGTAATCGGCAAGGCTGAAATTTTCCTGGTGGGTTTGAGTTCTAGCTGCTCTTTAGACGAGGCTCAACAAAAATCACATGCAAAACATAAAACGATTAAAAAACCCCCAACCAAACCACAAAAAGAAACCCTGTATTGCTGAATAATGCAATAAAACTGTAGAGGTTAAGGTCGCCGAAGCTGCTGCTGGGACAGCCATAGCTCTGTCCTGCGAACCCCACGTTGCTGTCTGCGCCCCTACCCTGGCATTAGCCTTCCTTTTCCTGGCAGCATGCTAGTCTGTCCAAAACTTGTTACGCTTTTGTGTTGCTCTTCCCCCCCCCCCCCCCCCCCATTTTCTGCTGATTTGGTCCTGTCATACAGGCTGCTGTGGGTGGTCGTGCCAAGGAAGGGGCCTGAAGAGTTGTAAGCTGAATGGGCATGCTTTGAGGCCCAGTTAAATGTGTCACAAACCTTGCCTTAAACTGGTAATGCTTCTTTTAAAAAGATGCTGTTGTTTCTCCGATTATGCTTTACTGTTTACCAGTCACAAGAAAATCACTTGATTTGGTCCTGTCATACAGGCTGCTGTGGGTGGTCGTGCCAAGGAAGGGGCCTGAAGAGTTGTAAGCTGAATGGGCATGCTTTGAGGCCCAGTTAAATGTGTCACAAACCTTGCCTTAAACTGGTAATGCTTCTTTTAAAAAGATGCTGTTGTTTCTCCGATTATGCTTTACTGTTTACCAGTCACAAGAAAATCACTTTCACTTTGGGAACACAAAGTACACACGCACAACAGTATAAAATTTATCCACACAAATCAAATGTAGCCTTTTAAACAGTAATTAAGGCAACTGCTTTCAGCATTATTCAGTTTATCCCACTCTCACCAGCACAAGTTTCTTGCACCAGGTATTGCAAGACTGCTGTATGAATTGATGTTAGGTGCCGACTGCCCAGCACCTCGGCAGCTGGATGAAAGACAGATGTCTGCATGTGCTCTCACCCAGACCAGAACAATGTGGCTTCTCTGCAGGCAGACTACCAATTTGCTATCTTCCCCTTGCTCCTTCCCGGTATGTCCCATTAGGAACCGTGCCCCTGTTTGTCGGGCATGCTGTGTCCTTACACGCTGAGGAAGCAGCTGTCACCTAGGCAGCAACATCAGAGCAGCAGATTTACTCCATGTCCTGCACAGGTACATATGCCAGCACCACTGCTGTTCCACGCCATTGTGGCTGATGTTGATGCTGTTTGAGCCAAAGCTTTTTTTGCATATTGATCTGTAGGGTGCCTGTTTTAATCAGACACTGGAGTTTCAAGTAGTTTGCATTACAGTCAATGGGATGATCTTGTTGCTTTTATAAGCTTTCTGCTGTCATGAGGCCAACACCAGCTCAATTCAGGGTTTTTATTTTTGTTTCAGAGGTGTGCCTGAAACATGGCAGTCAAATGGACTGGTGGACATTCATCCTCTATATTGTGCTTGAACGTAAACACGGAAGGGCTGGTGGCTTCAGGCGCGGAGAGAGGCGAGCTCACGCTCTGGGATGGGGGAGGCGCTCTGGCAGGACAGCTCCAGCTCCCGAAGGCAGACGACGTGGCCTCTGTGGTGTTCTCTCCCCGCTGTCCCACCAGTCTGTACACCTCCCACGGAGAAACTGTCAGTTTGCTGGATGTCCGATCCCTCAAGAAACCTGTTGAACACTTCCATGTGAACGAGGAAGAGATCAACTGCCTCTCAGTGAACGAGACCGACAGTTTCTTGGCTGCGGCAGATGACTCAGGGGCAATAAAGGTTGTGGACTTGGAGAACAAGAAAGTCAGACGGTCCTTGAGACACTCAAACATCTGCTCCTCTGCTGTCTTTCGACCTCAGAGGCCTCAAAGCCTGGTTTCCTGTGGACTGGACATGCAGGTGATTTGTATACAAGTAGATGGTTACTAGGGAAGTAAAATGGTAGCTAGCCGCCTGCATAGTGAGGCGCTAATAGACTTTCACCACGAGTGAGGGTGTAGAGCCTTCAGTCACTGGAAAGCTCCTTAACTATTCCAAAGTAGTTTTGGGGAGAAACTTAAGTGTTGAGGCTGTTTGTGCCATTTTCTACTCAGCAGCTCCCCTCCCTGGTTTTATCTTCCTTAATATTTACAGTCTAAAAGTGAGCGGGGTGGGAGGAAATCAGAATATGATGCAAAGCTGTCCCTAGCAATCAGCTATGGCTGCAGATGAAATGCAGATGATAGTTAGGAAAAGGCAAAACGCTTGAGGCAGACAGGATGCTAGCAAGAATACTTCACTACAGGTAGATAAATATCTTTCCAAGTGGTATGTATCACTGTAAGGACAAGTCGTTTTTATAGTTTATCCTTTGTAATGTTCTTTGCCTTTTACGCTTCTGTCTTCTCTTCAAGAGGAAACCTTGTCCTTTGCACGCCACTCTGAGAAAAACCATGCTAGGAGTTAACAGAGTCTTGAGTTATGTTGCCAAAGCTGGCCACCCAGAACAGCTTTTCAGTAATTTCTTTCCAGTGGTTGAGATCTGACCACATTCCTGGTTTAGCCCAAGAATAAAACTATCACTTCTACAAAGGTTTCTGTGGTTCTAGCGGTATTAGGGTGAAGTTTGCTTTGACACCGTTGAGCAGTTTCACCCTACCTTCTTAAAACCAAAGTGCATCTAACACCCATTAGAACAAGTACATGCTGGTATTTAGTATAAGTGGTATTTTTCCATATTAAGCAATTTTCCATATAAGGTCCACAAGTATATACACCCAAATAGGGTTTGATGGATGGAAGGCTGCCAGGTTTAGCTTTGCCAAATTTTCAGAAATGTTCCAAATTCTTTTTTTCTTAGGTTGACTGAAAGATGGATGTAGGATTTTTTATCAGCATTGTAAGCATTTATATACTGCTTCTGTGCGACTGACTTGTTATTTTTTGTGATTTTTTTGTTGTAGTACGGTTTACTGTACCTCTGCAGGTTGTTTTTTTAGGTGAAAGTCAGTACCCCAAAATAGTAGAAATTCATTGATGTGGTTTTATACAATGAAAAGAGCATTTTTCTGCATTGAGGCTGGCTTTAAGATACATCATTTCACAAAGAGAAACTGAGCAGCAATACTCTGAAATGCTGTGCTGCAGAATGTCTTTGGACGAGTTACAAGCTCTACGAGCATCAAAACATGTTCTGGGCTCACATGTCAAACCCTCAGTGAAGCTGCAGCTGATGGGAACTGAAATTTAGGTTGCTGGAGTCTTTTCAGAAGTTCCATGGAAGCAGGAAAAACACCATGAGGACAGAAAATCCTTAGTTTGCAGAAAACTTGTTAGCACTTGATGAATTCAAAAAGCTGTTGCAGTGCTGTTTGTGATGAAAACGTTAGGACCCAGCCTCTCTGATTTACTCTGCTCTGCACAGACATCGTGGAATGCTTTCCTTGGAGATTACTAGTGGAGGAATACTTTTATCATCAATTCAGGTCCTACAAAAGTATCGAAAGAATTGTTTTTAAGTGGCGCAGTATAAATCTGTAGTACAGGAATTGCTGAATGAGAGCCGCAGGGTTAATTTGAAGGCACAGTTATTGCTTCATGAGGGGCTTGGAGGTGGGATGGCATTTTAAAAGCAAGTCTAAAATCACAACCTCCCCCCATCTCATGAGGAAAAGCACGCCCTACCTCAATATGGTAATAGCACAAACCAGATCTGCACATTGGATATATAAAAAATACATATATGTCTGTTAAAAACAAGGGCATGAACTACTGTTTGCCTTTTGCTGTTCCACTTTTCGAACACATTCATGGAAGTGATTACTTTAGGACAAATATGTAGCAGAGGCAGAACTAAAATTCAGAATGATAATGATCTCTGTTTATTGCTAGCAGTTCCATGTCCCTCCTTTTAAATAATTGATGTGCAGTCTATCATGATTACTACTGCTGAGATGAATGCAAAAGCATTTAGAACAGCTTTTTCATCCATTTTGTGGTCTAAAGGTCTGAGTCATTGCCTCTGCTGAATAGGGCAGCATGACAGTTTGGAAAGCATGCTGTAAAGATTGGCCATATTTCTCAGGTGAAGTTCAGCCGCTCTTCACAACATGTCTGGCGTCTCTTGAGCTCATGCATAGCCTTTGCTCTGCTACATCAAGAAGTGTGGTTGGGTTTCTTTACTGTTAGAGAAAGATCTGATTTTATGTAAAATGGACAAATCAGTGATTCATATGTTTTTTTCAAGGTTATGCTGTGGAACCTGCAGAAAGCTCGCCCCTTGTGGACCACAAACCTGCAGGAGTGTGAAACGGAGGAAGACAGCCCACAGTCAGCTGGCCAGCTCTTTAACCCACCACTTGCACATTCCCTGACTGTCGCATCGTGCGGCAACATCTTTGGCTGCGGAGCTCAAGACGGTAAAGTTAGGATATTCAGAGTCACTGGTGTCAAGTTTGAACGTGAGCTGGAGTTTCAAGGTCACAACTTGGGAGTATCGCAGGTCCTTTTTATGCCAGAAGCATACTGGTTGTTGACCGGAGGCAATGACGGGAAAGTCTTGCTCTGGGATGTCAGCAATGACGTTGGAAAGCAGCAAAAAAGTCCAGCAAAATCTCTGCAGAGAAGGAAGGCCCAGGCACCTGCTTCCACCAGGAAAGATGGGAAGCTCAACAAAGTGGCTTCAAATGAACATGCTAGAGTTTTACCAAAGCTAACCATTGAGCACGGAGAGAAGGTGAACTGGATCTCGTGCGCAGAGCTGAAAGGCTCCAAGAGAGTATTAGTTGCTGATCAGAGTAGTTCTGTATCTGTGTATCCATTGCCAGAACCTTAGACCCCGAGATGTTGAAAGAAATTTTTGGGGGAAAACCACTTCTCAGAGCATTTGAAATGAGTCCATGTCCATCCGCTGAGAGTGAAGTGAACAGGGAAACCTGCTGTGTCCTTCAGAAGGGGAAGGGTGTACTCTGCAAGTACTCGTGCTGTAACTGGCCTCACATTATGTTGGTATTCACTGCAGCTGTTTCTTGCAGCATTGGCAGTTTGCTTCTTGAATCCAAGTGAATCGAGTTTCAGTATATTTAGGAGCAACATTAGTTCATGACTAAGGTTGGAGCAAGAAATTCATGCTGACAGGGACACCCACAATGCTAAATGAGGATGCTGAGCAGTAACAGAGATGTCATTGCTGAGCTGTTTGCATTTTGATCTGTTGCGGTGCTTGACGTTACTCTCCCCACACTTAGCTTAAATTGGCTGTAGCGGAAATATATTCTTCATTAGTTTGTCAGCAGCTGCATATAAGACTAGAGAAGCGTCAACTAATGAGTAATCAAATTAGTTTAACTGCCATTGCCAATTGGATTTTTTCACGCTGCAGTAAACGAAGGAGCAGGGGAAAATGTACCATCTGTTAATGGGTCGGCTGTCTTACGCATTTAGTTGTTTATCCCAGGGAAAAATAACTATTACACTTGTCTTAATAAATGCTTTCTCTCTCACGGCTCCCTTGTGCTTAACTCACTCTAATTTTGCCAGACTTGCAGAAAATTGTGTCAAGAAGTGCATTGTACACCTCATCACAGGGACAAGGCAAAGGGCCAAAGGCACTGCTCCTCCTTGCCCAAATACTTCCACTGTCTTCCCAAAGCTTTAGAAATGCAATGAGCAGAACCTGGCTTGCTAGAAATGTCTTTTAATTCGCAAGTTGAAGGTGGAGAGAATGGAACTAAGAGGGAATGCTGCAGTTCTTGGCATGTTCAATTCATGCTAGATTTCCCATGGAATGGGCAAATAAATAAAAGGAAAAAGAAAAGCTTTTTGTTTTTTTTCTCAGGCTGACCTTAACCTTTCACAAAACTGAAGGCCTGGTACTGGCTGAAGACCTGCTTCACTGATGTGAGGTTTGTGCTCTTCTTTCACCAGCTGGGCTGTTACCAGACACACATGATCTATCTGCCTTCTTTTTTTTTCTTTTTGATGGAAAACTTTCCATGTCTTTTTTGCATACCCAGCTCCTGAAAATCATGAGCCAGTTGTGCTGGCTGGCTGTCCTTTACGGAACAGATTCCAGCCGTCTTGGTTTTGCTCAAAGCAGCTTCCTTCATCCAACTCTGATTTTACCATCATACCATTTGTTTGGGTTTTTTTTAGAAAAGCAATCTGCTTGTACAGCCTTTAACAGCAGGAGACTTTGGCCCAAGACACGAGCTGGTGGGCAAATGAAGCCAAAACACAGCAAACAAGCAGAATAGTGGAGGCACCCCACCATTGTGTCACCTCTGAATTAATTTATGTACGAAGACAGCCAGGATCAGGGGATCAGAGGAAGCGGCCTGGGTGCGTAGTTCAGTATGTGATATGTTCATGAGCATGCGTCTTTGCACCAGTCACCTATATTTGGATATAGCATCTATAAAAAGCCTTGGTACA